GATGTGAGAGCCTGGTCCGGTGAGAACCCGGCGTGCTCCGTCCCGGCTTTGTAGGGATGCGAGGTCAATGGTCTAACGACTACGGCATGCACGACTATGAGTATGAGTACACCCCAGGCCACCTGAAGTGCAGTCCGTCANTTAACCCACGTGTCCCAGAGCGCCGCCGAAAACTTCTCGCAGAAGTGGTGAAATAATTTCTCGGCGGTCGCGACGCTCATCCCAGAGAAGGTGGCGACGTCCTGGAAGGAATTTCCCAATGCTACAACCTTCAGGGCCGCGCACACCTGTCGACGCAGCAGCAGCGACGAACGGGAGAAGGGCGTGTACGGCGGAGCAGCAAAAAAAGAAACACGTGTCGGTATAAAAATACGGTGTCTATTTGTTGCTGCGTGCCGTTCTGAACTCGAAAATCGGGAACAACAGCACGTGTGCCATGGCATGTCAGCGCTACAAAAAAGACGACAGCACTGCTGCTACGACGGAGCGGAGGAATTACAAGTCTGACACTCGCATTCCCGGCAGCACGGTAAAGAACAACAGCACGAGCCGATTGCACGCCAGACGGCCTTCCGTATGGCAGTTTGTAGTACAGCTCGCAGCCCTTGCAATAATGTTTTGGTACGACTGCTGCGTGCTAACCGAGGAGCAGTACAAGGGCATGTCAACGCAAAAAAATACAACACAGCATCACTGCTGCTACGACGGAGCGGGGAAATCGTCAAGTCTGGTACTCGCACCCCGGCAACACGATCATAAAAGCCAAAAAATACCACAGATACCACACCTCCTGGACCCATTTTCAAAGCTCGACAACTCCACGGCCAAGAGGATGCATGAACGAAACGATGCATTTTCGGAAAGCTCTCGGCGAGAGTCTCGGCGAGAGGGCTCTACGGCGCCGTTTTCGGTGCTGACTCCTTTTGCAGTTGAGAAATCGACCTTTGACAATCGGTCCAGGGGGTGTGGTATCTTGTGTCATTTGCGGTTGTAGGGACAAGAACACGAGGGGATTGCACTCATGGAGGCCGTACAGCAGTAGGTACAGGTCCTGGAAAATGTTGTGGTACACACGACTGCTGTGCGAGGATTCTCTCGTGACGTTCACACGTCTGAAGCTCGTGCACAGCACAGAGGAGGGACGAAAATAGAAGAGTTCAAGCCACTACACAAGCTGCCGGCTGTAGGCTACAACAGCAAGCACTAGTAATTCGCATGCTGTCCTACCGTCAAGTAACAATCCAGATACTGGGTCACAGCGCACCTTCAATTCCACGGGAACGCACTCCCGGCCAGCTACGTCGTGTGTTGCTGCTGGAAATGCGGGCGCCACAGCCTTGACGATGCCGAGGAACATCTCGTAGGGGACTCGGAAAGCACCGACGAACTGCCGTGCCTCTCGGCTGTCCTCGTGAAGCCCACCCTCCGAAGCATGCAGCTCTGCGAGTTTCCCTAGCCACTGTCCCCAGGGCGACTTCATGTACTCTGGCCGGGGATAGGACCGCCGTTGCTGCTTTGCCTTGGATTCCTCCTTCTCCTATTCGAGTGCAGCAGCAGCAGCAGCAGCGCACGCTTCCTCGAATGCCTCTTCTTCTTGGATCAGCCCACTCACGATCGAACTGGCTGCAGCTGCTGCTGCCAATACAGTCTCTTCTGACTGGTTGCCGGTGCTCTCCATGTTTGGTGTGGTGTGCGTCGGTGTGGAGCTCGCGGACGTGGCTTTGTGTTGTGGGTTGTGTGATACCGTGTGGTGCGCATCGGGGTGGCGCTCGCGTGCGCGTGTGTTTGTTGTGTCGTGGGTTGTCGGACCCTGCGACCCCGTCACCCCAGAGCACGGCGGAAATAATACACAAGAAACCCGAACCGGTATAATTCCCGCCGTGCAACATTTTTTTTTCTTAATATGACACAACGAGTCCATATCTATCTATATCATAGAAAAGCGATGGAATCGCAGCCCAAGCATCCGAGGCGCGAAAGTGTCAGCACTACGCTCGTCCGGGACACGTGTCCTTTGACGAACGCAGCTTTAAACTTACCACCTTAGCCGTGGAAAGCTTTGGCCGCCTTGGAGAGGAGGGTTACGAGTTCATCGATGAACTTGCGACACATGCCGTGGGAGGAAGGGACGGAGGAACGATGGCTCTGAAAGGAGTCTTCAAGGAACGACTTCTTCAGATCGTTTCGGTGGCTACACAGGTGGCCATATCTCGGCGAGTGCAGAGGTACAAGCTCGCATTGCGCGGGCGTCAAGACGCCGAAAACAGGCGAACAAGATCGACCTCGGACCAGTCAACGCCAATGATATGGGGATGGAGTGTAGACGCATCGTAGAACGCGTTTTCGTTTGAAGTTG